GCAGGTGCATTTAGTTGGTACACTGTACCAAAACACTTTTTTTTAAATGAAACAAAAATATGTCTAACACTACACTTTCAGTTATAAACACTACCATTTCACCAACTGAAGATATTGTATACCGGTCATCTAAATGAGGCAACGAGGAACGGTATTAGAAAAACGGAAAATCTAAAGTAGGAATAAATAAAACTCAAAACAAACTACAATTCTGGAAAGCTTTTGGACATTTTGGGTTGTTAATATAATGCCTAATGTCCCTAATTTAGCAAAAAAAATCTAATTTAGATCAAATCTATGCTTGTTTCGTGTAGTACTTTCCAAACAAATCTACGTCTCTAATATGCAGAACAAGCTTCACTAAACAGAACTAATACCAGGGCTTTGACGAAATGAAGAGTAGCAGTAGGTAATAAAAATTTCGTTGATGCTGTATTTACGAGCGTATATGTATATAGGGTTCTACAGAAATTTGCAGAATATTAAATGATGCTACTTTTCCAAGAACTACAGACAATACTGTTTCATTTTTTGTTTCCCATAAATGTCTAACCTGCCATCCCCCGCATAGAGCTATAGAGCATAATATTTGTTCAATCAATGTGAAATAAGTTAACATTCGAAATGTGGTAATAATTTTAAACTCTTAGATTATCAAATTCGTTGGCAAAATAACAATAGCATAATATACATGGACAAGATGTGCAATGAAATATTGGAAGACTTTTGACAGCGACAATGACGGAGTGTACGTTTTCTATGTATAAAACAGTTCGCACAGTATAAAAATATCTAAAAAATTATTGTTTCTCAATAATTAGTTTAATGATCCCGATTTTACCAAATAAAGCATACTTTATTTAGGAACTCAAATGATGTTTAAATTCAAAACACAATGTTATTATTTTTTGATATAACTTCTTTTTACAACACCTTCGCAGGGCACTAAATTACGCCGTAGCTGGCAAGACCTAAAAAAACGATTTTTTTTATTTTCGGAATTTTTAAATTTTGTTTTTTTCGCGTTATGCTTTACAATAATGGGTAGGTAATTATAGGTAAGTATATTCATCTTACTGCAACACTACCTTCTTTAATTAATGCGTTTAAGAGTTTATGCTATTTTTTTTTTGTTTGATTTTGAGATTTTAATTGGGGGGTGTTTTTTAGATAGCATGCACTGTTTGCACCTAAATTCACAATAAATAAATAAATCTCTACGTTTTGACATGCTTAATCTTTTTTAAATATTTATTTATTATATTTATTTATTAAAAATTCGTTTTAATCACTAACGCTGTCACTAATTGTTGGCTACTCTCTAATTTTATTAACTATCGATATATTTAAGCAGTACAATGTGGAAAACTGGACGAGTAATTTGGGGCTGTTTTTTAGGTATCATGTACTGTTTGTACCCTAATTCGCAATAAATAAATAAATTTCTACGTTTTGACATGCTTAATCGTTTTTAAATATTTAGTATTACCACTTATTTCTTTATTAAAAATTGTTTTTAATCACTAACTCGGTCACTAATTGTTGGCTACTCCTTAATTTTATTAACTATTAACATATTTAAGCAGTAAAATGTGGAAAACTGAACGACTAATTAGGGGGTGTTTTTTAGGTACCATGTACTGTTTGCGCCTAAATTCACAATAAGTTATATAAATGACTACGTTTTAACATGCTTAACCGATTTCAAAAATATTTAGTATTCCCACTTATTTCTTCAGCAAAAATTGGTTTTAATCACTAACTTGGTCACTTGGCTACTACCTAATTTTATTAACCATTGACATATTTAAGCAGAAAAATGTGGAAAACCGCCTAAGAATAATACAAATTACAATACAAATTTTACTATTTAAATAATTCAATAATTAAATCATTTATTAGTCTTTAACAATTTATTGGTTTTGATTAGTTGACAAAAACTAACTACCAATAAAAAAAATTACTGGTAATACAAATGAATTGAAAACGACCAAGTAGTATGTAATACTACAATATTTTTGTGCGAACCAAAAGATATTGTAAATTATCCTTTTTTTTGGAAATTCTGGATAACTTGACATTAATTAGAACCCGTAGGTTAAGATATAAATAACATTTTAGGATTAGATCATCATTCTTAATTTTTTTCAAAAAAATATTCTTTTGCTATTAGGTATGTCAGAAAACGCCACCTGTTGTAAGGTAATCAATCGCAAGCGCGTCTAGGAAAAATCAATGACATCGAGTATATTCAAAAGCGTCAAGCCTTTTTGAAGATATGGACATTTATTTAAGAAAATATTCGCCCCCCCCCCAAACTTCATTACTACATTAACCACTATTGTATTCTTATAGGCAAAATAAAATCGCAGTTCCTCGACCTTTTTCAATTTAAATCTCATAAGGAGTTTGTTTGTAGTGCAGTAAACGGCATTTGAGTCACGAGTGACCTAAAAAGTTTACCAAACATGTTGCATGCTATATTTTTTCTACGACGGTTAGTGACGTTTTCCGCATGCTAGATCGGTGTATAATTAGATATTTTACAAAAATAAATATTCTTTAACGGTTTTTCCATTTTTATGTATTATATTTTATATCTGAGAACATTTTGTGTTCGGTTCTGGCAGTTTAGCAAGAAAACTAACCAAATATAAACAAAATGATCCTCGGTTCCTTGCTTTATATCACTCAGCTTCCTCACTTAACTTACTGCATCAATTTACCGTTTTTTTAAAACACAGAGTGAGTTAAAATTTTGTATATGATTTCAACAACTTAAAAAATACAATTTTTGTAGATTAATTGGTTTAATCCTTAAACTTACAAAACAGTAGAATTTCAATAAATTATGAGATCTGCAATTTTGTTAAGAACTGAAATTTGGCGCAAATATTAGAGGGTATAAAGTTAGGATATCAAGATAATAATACTTTTGCCGGTTGTACTCACTTTAATTCTCTGAAGCATTTCTTTCTTTTTTTTTAGGAACAATATTAAAAAAGGCAAAAAGTTTTCAAATTAAACAGAAAATATAAATGACTAGAAAGCAGAAGCGACGCGGAGAAAGGGTTAAAAAAAAGGCTGATTCGCCCAGTATAAGGGTTTTTAAAATTGTGTAATTATGGTGTTAAAATGTACAGGGAGATATGTTTTTTATTGGCAATTTTTTTGTGTAATGGCGTATCTATTTTGTTTTGTTTTAATGTGTTTAACATTGAAATGGAAAATAATAGTACATCTTGAAGCTTTAACACATTGTAGATCAGACACACAAAACGTTTGCCTATGGAAAAAAAACTTATTTCAACTTCAATTTTTAATGGGTGCTAATAAGTGCTTAGGAAAGGTATGGAATGAGGCGGAAACGTAGGGGTCGGCATTTAGAATGACCCATCCTGCCTTGTTTATGTGTCTGTATAAAGGAACAACTAGCCAATGTTAGTGAATCGTTAATCATCGATATAAAAGTGCGTTTCGCATATAAATGGCAAATTTTTAAAATCCCAACGTACAGTTTTTGGCTCAGTAGCGGGGCGAGCATGCGAAATGTTTAGCAGGCATCTTATCGGCTGCCTCGTTTGCATTTTTACATCAACTCCATAAATTATTCCTTCTTGTCGGCCTTTCCAGGAATTGATGTGGGCATTCGCAACGTGTTTGCCGACAGGCACACAGTGCTGCAGTTTAGTATAAAATCAGAGACATAGAGGGTATTATTTAGTTTATATTTCTAATATTTAAGTTGCTCCTTAGAAAACAGTCCAATTATTGTTATCTTATTGTAATTTTGGTATAACAAGTATTTTTCATTCTGATGTCAATCAATAAATAATATAAAAAGTCTTTGAATTGTAAAAACTGTCAAATTTTGAAATAATTTAGTTCCTTTTTAAATTACTAAATGCATTACTTAAAAATACACAATTATGAGTTGAGAATTAGAAAATTTCAAATTCGATAGGATTCGCTTTATAACTATGGGAATAACAACCTATGGTTTAATACCGAAAAAACAGAGTTACTGATATTATCTTATACGGACTTAAATAAAAGCCTTTTATTCAGACATGCCAACAAGTGCGTTCGTTAGGTCAGTGTGGTTAAATGACTAAGACTAGACCAATTAAATCGTCCAATCACGCACTTAAAATAAATTATTTTTAAGTTTGAATTCGATTGAAAATATGACATTTATTTGTCACTGTCTGCTATAAAAGTGAACATAGAGACTGATCAAGAGTTGAACGTATAAAGAAATGTCGTTTTTAACTGTTGATTACAGCAAATGCATTCGGTTGTCCAGTAGATTTTCGAATGCTTTTAAAATTGAAGATTAATTATTTTTTCTTTACTATTAAAAAATGGCACGATAGATTTCAGAAACAGTGTCACAGTTGCTGAAAAAGTAAAAGATTTTAATACGAAATTTGAATGTATATGTATTTATTATATTTCTTTCTTAACATAGAGAAACGGGAAACATGTGCGATTTTTTTTAAAAATTCAACCTAAAGATAGTCAGTTTGTTGATTTGTTAAGAATAAATCTAGAACACAGTAAAAAATCCAGGAACATTTTTAAACCAAATCAGTAAACTAAAAAACAGAGTGCATATATGAACTTTAGGGTTGAAAATAATCATTACAATTTACCGACATACTAAATAAAACATATCATATATATTTTATCTAGGTTAATTTAAATAAATCTTTAGAAAAATTATTAATCTCCGACCTTTATAAAAAATTATAAATATATAAAACTTGATGTAAGGTATTCAGTTTTTGTGAATACAAAACCCGTTTTAACGTAAGTCTTCAATAACAGTATGACAATGTTGGTAAAATATTACAAATTTCCGCTGTACTTATATAAGCGTTCCACTGGCATTAACATTAACACGTTCTATTGTTTTTTTTTGTCAGTTGGTGGATTTGGTTTTAAATCGAACTCGAACTTAAGAAAGTGCGACATTCGCACAATGAGGTACCACAAAATACCTAAACTAAAATAATTTTATTGATAAGAAAATTTCGTAGTCACACTCGATTTGTTGATTTTGCTACAATATTATGTCTTAGCTTATAAAATTGCATGACTAGCATAAGAAACTTCGTAACTTTAGTCGATTCTTACTACTAAAACGCCTAATTTTGCTTACAAAAGTATGAAAATTATGAAATACAGAGTATCCATTAAAATTTTGGTTTTATAAAAAATTACAAAATTAGCATAAGATTTATGATTAGATCTGCTACCTGGAACTACAAAAAATATTGCTTGTCACACGTACGCAAGTGTAGAAATTAAATATTTATTCTGTATTTTGAAGCTAAGTTTTTATCAGTAGGTTGTAGGTTAGGCAGTAGGTCAGTACGGAACATTTGTACGTAATTAACCTAAAAAATATATAAATACCTAATAAACCTAAAACAATTTCATACATAAAGATTTACTTTTCAGTCCAATAACAAAATTTAAAACTAAGTTTTTAAATGTTTCATCAGATTTGGTCGTACTACAAATTTGTCGTTTGTGTCGCATATCATCAATTAATTTACATTACACATTACAGCATCGAATAGGCGAATTTCGGCAAAAAAATAATAAGAAACAATCAAACCTTTGTTATTTAAATACCTATAAGATATTTTAATTCGTTTGCAAATGTAAAATAGACAAGCATATATATGTGCGGATGAACTCGTTTTGGCTTTCAAATCATATCATCTTATCCCGTTCTATTGTATTTACAATAACTGCAATGATTTTACTGTAGATATGTATACAAATTATTCGTTAAACTTACATGAAATGGTATGTCTGTGACATTTTGATATTTTCTTGTGAAATTTATCCCCGAAAATTATTCACACATGAAAAAAAAAGTCGCTAAAGCTCGAATATTTCTAAAAACCTTTAACAAAAACAAAAATAAATTAAATTCTCTCTAAAGGGTAAGTTAAACACTATTGACTCATGGAATCTTGGTCATCCTCATCTCGCTGAGAATATCTCGTTTGCTGAGACGTTGAGGTAATAACGCTCGTTTGTTCGTCTTCTACTGTCATTATCGGCTGCAAGGGCTGAGCACTGCAATTAAGAACTATTTATTGTTATTTAACGAAAAATATCTCCGTAAAATAGGTGTTATAATAAGGGGTGTTTTTTTCGATGTATAGAACTTTAAGTTGCAATAAAACAACGATGGATTATTCGATTGACATGGATTTTATTTATCCGAAAGATAATCTGGTGGCATTATATTTTAAATGTGGACGTCCAATTTTCGATGACCTTTCCAACATTTATGGCCATCAAGCGTCTGTGGCTTATCCGCATAGACCAATGACTTTACATAGCCCCACAGAAAGTAGTCTAGCGGTGTTAAATCACAAGATCTTGGAGGCCAATTCGCAGGTCCAAAACGTGAAATTAGGCGGTCACCAAACGCGTCTTTCAACAAATCGATTGTGGCACGAGCTGTGTGTTACGCCGTCTGGTTGAAACCACATCTACTCGACATCATGGTTATTCAATTCAGGAATAAAAGAGTTAGTAATCATAGCTCTATACCCATCACCATTGACTGTAACGTTTTGGCCATCACCGTTTTTGAAGAAGTACGGACCAATGATTCCACCAGCCCATAAAGCGCACCAAACAGTCAGTTTTTCTGGATGTAACGGTGTTTCGACATACAATTGAGGATTAGCTTCGCTCCAAATGCGGCAGTTTTGTTTGTTGACGTAGCCGTTCATCCAGAAGTGCGCTTCATGGCTAAACAAAATACGCTTATGAAAATCGGGAACAATGGCAATGTCGTTTTGGGCCTATTCGACGAATCTACGCCTTACTTGATGATCGTTTGGCTTCAATTCTTGCACGAATTGGATTTTGTAAGCACGTAAACCAAAATCCTTCCGCAAAATCCTCCATAAAGTGGATGGACACATCCAATTCCTGTGCTCGATGGCGGATGGAATCTTCCTCAATGCTACGCTCTACAGCAGCAATAGCTTCTTCTGTACGCAGCGTACAGCATCTCTGGGGATGCGAGTTATCAATAAGAGTAAACTTGGTGCGAAAACGTTCGATGGTTAATCGACGATTTTGTCGACGATAAAATGGACGTAGTGCGCGATACGTATTCCGCACAGAACCATTATTTTCGAAATAAAATTGCACTATTTGCAAGGGTTGTTCAGGCGTGAGTCTATTCATGATGAATTGCCAAACCAAACTGAGAATAAATCACTTGACAGCTGTTAAATCGGTCGCCATCTTGAACAGTAATGCCAACTTAAAGTTCTATACATCGAAAAAAAAAACACCCATTATTTTATATATTACTCGAAAGTAATTATTCTACTCACAAATTTGCAAAAATTCTGGCATAAATTCGATAATATGGCGGAAACTATCAGTTTATTTCCGCGTTATTGCTTGATTTGTGGAAATATCTTTTTAGACAAATTATGCAGCAAGTTTTATAAAACCGCACAGGTAGTCTTTAATGAACAACTTACTGGAGATATTTGTGAATATGTTGCATACTATACTTATTCTACGACCATAACTTTTTCAGAACATTGACAGAATGGTCAAACGTTAAAATACCATGACTAAAATGGAACGGAAACATGCGATCGCTCCAAACTCGTAACTAGATTCCCGAAAATGCCCGAAGTAGCTTGGGTAACGACCTCACATTAAAATGACATGATCGATGGGTATATGATTAGGTATATTGGAGGATGTTGTAGAAATATATATGTTAAATTTAAATTCTCATTAAAATTACAGTTTTTTCTGGAATTTTATATTATTTGTGGATCAACTTGCATTTTAGATTATCAAAATTTGATTTCTCTTTCAACAAAGAAACTTGCTGATTGTCTGAAACTGATACAGTCAAATGTATTATTTAAATATGGCATAAGTACATCGCATTGTTTTTAAAGTATTTGGATGGATGATTTTGCACAAACTGAAGAGGCAATCGAGTGGTTTTTATTATAAAAATGCCGTGCTTTATTCGTTTTGTTGAAATTTTAAGTCTAAAAATGACAATGGCTTTTTTGTTTCTCTGTTTTTTCCAAAAATTCTTAATAGTCAACATCATGGGTTGTCCTGTACACCTATATTTTTTGGTTGTATCTTTAGTTTTCTGGAAATGTTTGCCAGAAAACTGCAACTCTAATATCACCGGCGAAAACTGGCCATAGTTTGAAAAAGTACCTAAGCAAAGTATATGAGTATGTTTTATAAAAATGAGCAAGTGAAACTGATGAGATAGTAAAAATATTTTACTTCGTCGGTTAGTACCTTAGTATCAACATTTTTATGAACCTGAACTTTAAGGAATGATTACTTGTTAATTTTTATAAAGGCAAGAATTTTACCTCACCTTTGCTACTTTTTGGTGCGTACGGAAATATTTATTTGGAAATGAAAGATTCAAATTCAAAATCAATACAAGTATTAGTCAAATATCAATATTAGTTCAAGTGTTATTTAGAAAACTATCAATAGTTTAATTTTAACGCGCTTCATCCCTAAATAACATTTAAACTCATGTATATTGTTATAGAAATTTTTTGACCTAAAATTAAGAAAGTTAAGCTTCATACTTAGTAAACACCATCTCCACTTCATAAGTCCATTGCACTAATCAAATATTTTGAATTAATAGAAAAGTCCTGAATTGAAAATTAATCTAAATAAAATTATTGATTAGAAATAAAAGTATTAATTAAATAACACCCAATATACTCACTTACTTGGTCATTTGACGACCTATGTGGTCTGTGCTGGGGAGTTGGCGATGAAACGATTGATGACCCGGATATACAGTTGACGATATCGATTGGGGTAATTGATACTGATCTACAGGTAATTCAAGTTCTTGAACTGCCTGAGAATAGTATACTTGTGAGGGATCTACAAAGAATCGAAGATTTGGCTAAATCCTAAATGAACATATACAATGCAATTAGCTTGCCATTATATATAAATTGTTTAACAGGATACCACAACCGCCACCGCTTGCTTCTCTTAAAAATTGTTTTAAATGAGAAATATAAATAATAAAAAAAATGCAGCCTCAGTTATGACACGTAAGAGTTGAAGAGAATATATTTTTGTATTTCGGTCCAGCGCATTCGCCAATTTGGGGAAATTTCCAAGTGAACAAATTTGCAATCAATTTATATACTTTTTAATATTTGATCTTTAAATATGCATAAATTCAAATCAAACGCCATGCAACACAGAAAAGGTTAATCAACGCAAAGCAAAGCAGATAATTTTTGAAAACTAAATCTGACTTTTATTTTAGTAAGTTCATTTTAACATTTGCTTGGATGGCGTGACTTATTGAAGTAAATGGTAACAGACAAATTTTAAAGTTAAAACATTTCAGGAATCGTAGCAAGTACAAAAATACGCGTATTATCGCGTTTTCTATAAAGTTAATAAAAACATGTTTAGATAAAATTGAAGTGCTTTGTAAATAATGATTAACGGCGTGGCAGATAACAAACACCTCGATATAAACGAACGCGGAATATGGTTTATGACATTAATATGGGTGCAATAAATATTATACTTAGAAATTGTATGATTTGTTTCTGACTGCGTCGCCGGATGACAAATATGTATATACAAAGCAAATAGATGCGCAATAATTGGGAACTGAAATATTTTTTAAATACTAACTAATTCGCTGTTGGTGCATCCCGGATGCTGACGGTCCAGCGTGAGATGCCGAACTCTTTGGTCTCCGCTTTCGCGTCTGAATGCCGTCTTTCTTCATACTGATTGGTCGATTTACCTAAAAGTGCGAATTAAATTATACAAATGCAGAGGCATTTTAAATTGGCGTATTTTGTTTTGTTTGTAATTATTTTAAAAACATTCTTATATGCGATTTCCTGTCAGTATATTCTATTTACAGTGTGTTTCATAATTCGGTATAAAATTTTAAGGGCATATTTATTAACCAATAATAAGTTTGTTTTTTAGATGTCAAAATTTTCTTCTTAATTACAAAAAAATCTTTTAGTGGATTTGACAAAATCTTTCGTTGGGTTTTTATTTTGTGTTAATCAAAATAAAGCTGTTCATTCCAATGACATCTAATTGATAGGTAAAATCATTATGGTACCCTACTGATTCTTTCTAGATGAAGCAACAACAATGAAAATTTTTTATTTTTTCCTTTTTTTTGTATCTGGCTTCGTCTTCCAAATAAAAATTCCTGACGAAAAGGTGTTTTTAGCAATTCCACAAAATCTTTAAAAATTATTTTGATAAATCTGCGGTCTAAGTCTATATTCGTTTTTTTTTGCAAAACGGGTAACTTTTAAGCACTGCTATAACTTTTTCTCATTTGCTTCTTATTGGTAACACGAATCATTTTCTATAGAATCGCTCATAACTGAAAGGAAAGTGTTAAAGTAAAAATACGAAAAAGGTTAATTTTTCGTTGCTTTATCTAAAAAAAATATATTAGTTATTCAATATATCAGTGGCGTACCATGATTTTACCTATAATTATCAGTAAGATCACTCTCCCAAGCACGACTGAAATGACGAGTTTTATTTTAACTACCCAATGAAAAGACCCTTATGGCGACAAAGAAGCGTGGCAACTTCGGGCAAAATAAGCTAAAAGAAATTTGAGTTATTAATAAAAAAACGAATTTTTTCTACAGTCTTTCTGATAAAGAAAGCAAATTAGGGCACATATAGGAAAAAACGGAACTATTTTTGTCTTATAAATATGCTCTTAAAATTTTTGTACACCCTGTCTATAAGATAGTAATCTTGCGTTATACTACAATTAGAACAAAAAATGTTCAGATTTTCACATAAACCAACAAAGAACTGTAAAAATCTGAACATTTTTTATTCTAATTTAGTTGTGTTAAATGGATTTTCATCAAATAAAAGCCATCTCTGTTCAATAGCGTTACAATACAGTGAATAAGAGATGTTCTCCATTATTCCACAATTATATAGTTAGTAACATTACTGCTTTTTTACCTAAAGGGCAAAAATAAAACGAAGTTTCGTATATATGCCTAAACTGTAGAACCTTACATAAATTTTTAAAAAAATTAAATGTCAGGCAATTATTATCCTGCATCATAGTAGGGTTAAGATATTTATTTACATATGGTGAACTTTATTTTATATTTTTGTTTTATGTTTGTCTAGGAGATTATTTGAAAAACAGTGGCAGGTAATAACGATTTTTAAACTTTTTGGAACAACACTTTTAAATCGTTTTCGAAAATGATATTTTCCCCTATCTGTTAGTAATTCTCCGTTTTGGGAAGTTCTGACATATTACTGACACATTTACTGAAATAAATGAGCCAAGTTCAGACTGCTAATAAATAAAAGTGGCTGTCTTAGATCGTACTACCAAAAAGAAGAATTAACCAAAACTGCTGAAGTTCTGTTTGCTGCTTAAGACACATTCGGTTAAAATAAACTATTTTGCTTAAGTTTGTTAATGTATTAGAGTAAAATCATGAATGAAGTTTATCGTTGGACAACGTAACAGATAGGTATATTATCTAATATTTGTCAGAGTAAGTTAAACGCTAATACGTAACGTATCAAAAAGATATAACATTTTGGCATATTATCAACCCCGGATAAACTGATATTTCGGCATATCACTAAGATACGTCCTATCTTCACAAACACTGGCCTATCTTAGATTACAGAATTCCAGGCCAGACAAGGTGTCTGATTTCCGTATTTTTGTTAAAAAATTATCTTACACCTGTTAAATCATATACCGGTGTTACGTTAAGAAAATAGCTGTTATCTTATTTTCAGTGATTTTTGCTCTGTCAGGCGATTTGATATTTTATCTGTTAGATAATTTCATGTTGGTCGATGGCTGGAAGGTTTTCGTCTTTAATTAATGGCCCAAGCACGCCACTGCCGTTGGCAACTTATACGATAAAAATTAAATTGTTCTGTCTCGATTTTTATTTCGCTCAAGTGGTTATTTGCCGAACCATTTATTTTCGACGAATCATGTTGCGCAGCAGAGTGTGGCGTCAGGGAAGATTTTGCCTCTAAAAAAGCCAAATAACGAAATCCTACTTAAGCATTCTTATCTCACGTAAATTGTGAATGTTTACTTAACAATAAAAGATCTTATCCATCTTAAGTAGGTACCTTTCGCAATATTCTTCGGTTCAAAAATATCATCAAACTTTACGCATAAAATTGCTTTCTCTATACTTACACCGTGCAATTTGAAATACAGTCCGCATGCGTTACACACGGGTTCCCCCTGATTATTTCGCCTCCATAGCGTGGTGTTGTTCGTTTTACAGTTGGCACATATAACACCATTTCTTCTGTTCCCAGTCTGCAATTAGGATTCTACTTATAGCTGCGAAAATGTATTGTTATAACGTTATAACATTATAGACTTGGAATAAATTCGTACAAAGAGTGTACATAATTCGATAGATGGTCATCTTATATGGAAACTAACCAAAACTTCAGACTGTTTTAGATTAGTCAATTTATTGTACTATTTAAACCATTTTTTTTTTGCAATTTATGTCTTGTTGACTTCGCAACATCATATCGTGTAACTCCAATATCTAGAAAACTCCACAATAAATTGTATAATAAGGAACAAGTCCTATTAATAACTATAGTATGATTTATCAAGAAATGACGTCTGTGATTGCCGTTGAAGGTATAACTAATTATACACCGATCGGATGTTTTCGGAGATATTTCCCACGCTTTGAATTTAGACGTTTGTCAATTCTGACTGTCATGTCAGTGAACGTATTCGTGTTCTTTTGCAAAAATGTACTCAAAAAGTGTAGTATGCAACACGTTTGCCATTTTCCAGACTTGTTGCATAATATACTAATTTTCTACTCCCTTCTGCAAAATACCCAATTATACATCGTTCTAGCATGCGGAAAGTGTGATTTTAGCACGACAGTTCTTTTTCCTATGGATCCGAGCCACTTCGAACATTTCCGGGACATTACCACACGAGTTTGGGAGCAATCGGATATTTTCGGAGATTTTACCGCACGGCTTGAATTTTGACATTTGTCAATTCTGACGCTCATGTACAAAATGTACGAAAAAACTAACACACGTTTGGTTGGTTTACCAAATGTGTTGCAAATTATACTTTTCCTACTACCCCTCACTTTAAGCCCTGACACATACATGGACGCGCAGCCTCTGAAGATGTCAGATGAAATTCTGACGAAACATCAGGCGTCCGATCCTATCTAGTGAGGTAAGTAAGGACGATAAGATCATATTTATAGGCCTTACTTACTAATCGCACATCCTTTGCTTTTAGGATTTGGATCCTTTACATCATAGAATATGATATATGTAACTTGGCATGCACATACTATAATTTGCAATAATAAACATTATTATTTTATTTTAGTAGTTATAGAAACATCGGAAATATGAAAATATAGACGGCTACATAATTAACAAAAAGCAATTAAATTTATATTTGCAAATATTAATAAATAACAAACAAAAAAAAAATGGCGACTAAGCCTAAATAATTTTTCAGTTCGTTAAAAAAACAAATTTTATGATGTCAACTGTGGTTTAGCTTTGTTGTTATTTTTTTTTAAATAGATTAATAACTCCTTTCAAAAGTTAAAGTTGTAACTTTGGTGTTAATAATTAATATTTTGAGATTTTGTTTTTTCAATATTATTGTTAGTTTAGTAGCTTGGTAAAAAAATCGTAATAAACTCTCTTTCGACTACTTTGAAAAAGGAAATGAAATAATTATGAATAAATAGTGATTTTTTTTAATTATCAATTTCTTGAAATTAAAAAATACTCAACATCTTAAAAGTTGCATGTTGTTAATACCACGTTTAAATACTTATGTTTCCTTTTTTAGTGGTTCCAGAATAATAAATTTCAGCAAACAGCAACTATCAATCGTGTATCGATTTTATCGGTATTTGTCGAAAAGTTGAGTTTATTAACGAAATATTTAAGGTTGCCTTGATATCCGTCGTCACACCGAGCGGATGATATCATTTGTTTGTTTAATGTAAATGGGGTCGTATTTAAACTGATAAGGGCCCAGAATTGAAAGGTGTTCCGTATAACTGCACCAAAACTGTCGGAATATTACCGCCTTCTGCCTTATTGTACGACCCATCAAGCTGACCAAACAGGCACCCCACTAACATTTGTTAAAATATCTTCCGCATCTTTAATAAGGAATCATTAAAAATCTTCTATACTTAGAAATATTATTTTGTCTCTTCGTTATATTTACACACCAGGAGTATAGCGTTAATCCTTCCAAAACTCAGGTCATGTTTACCATCATTTCCCAATTCCGAATTCCTTAGTAGCGTACGCACATTTTAGAGTACAGCAAACGTTTGTGCGTTAAATATTTCTTTTGGCTTATTGTGATGAAACTTTTATGGTTGGTTATTTACACTAAATTTGAAATGATGGGATCAGCGTGCATAAAAATATAGTGTCATAAATAAAACTCGAAGCAAAACATATTCGCCAAACTTAAAAAACAGCTAAAATTACAAAATACAAAAAATAATGTAAATACGTAATTCTAAAGTTTCATTTCATTTCATGGCTTGAACTCTTCACTAGGTATATAATAGTTGATCAGTTTTGTTTTTGTCATATGATAAGATTAATCAATTTTCCCGATTTAAATTATAGGCTATTTCTGCAATTGACAGTATAGGGGCTTTACTTATGATGCAATACGAATACTTCAAGTTTTATATAAAATGTGTGCAGATGTATGTATTTCGTTACGCGAATTTCGTGTTGAAATATAGTCGTTTATTGAAGGAAACAGCGTGGTACATAAAAGATGCCTTCGGAAAATCTCTAGTTCATAATGAATTTTCCATTAATATTTCACCATGTAAAATAATACCTGGCTTATTCTGGCTCATCTAAAACCCAGAAATAATAGATGTAATTTATTTTGGGATTTATAACAAACAATAAAAAAATTATCTTTACATATATCCAAATTGCACATTGCTGATTTTACAGAAAAACATATAATGTTGTGAGGGAATGTTAAATAATGCTGAGTTATGATTTTTTGGAATTGGTCTGAAATTATTGATGGAATTTATTTGACTTCATCCTTAATAAGTTCTTTTGTGCAATTGCTGCTTAAGATGTGTGGTCTCCTTTGAATGATACATTTGTATACGAATAAAGTTAAAATAAAGGCTTCACATTTCATGATTTGCTTATGATAGATCTAGAATGCACCAGGCTGTGTAAAATTAACAGGCAGTTAAGATTTTTTTCTACCACATTAAACCTGCAGGTGTTACTCACAAATCACGAAAACGCACGTTGAGCAAAAAAAAATCAAACGGGTTCTGGATGCAATTAAACAGCCAAACAACTAAATTAATTAACTTACCGCAGTGTGGCCGTCAAAAATGAATGAATTTATGGTAAAAACGTTGGAAAAAGGAACAGGACCAAGTAGTGAAGCAGTTGTTAGTATTGGTTATATTTACGAAATTTTTTATTAAAAATCAGGTGATATTTTGGTAATGGTTTCATTAATTTTCGGAAGCGTCGTAATTCTGGATTAGGTTCGGTTAAATGTATGATTTATATGCATTTTGATAAAGTTTTCATTATGAATAATAATTTGGTAGTTGGTTGGTTAATTTTGTCCACAAAGCGTCGTAGTCATTTTTCCACCTAACGAGCTTTTTCGATAGTTGTGCGTAACATAGCCAACGCGATCGGCTTGTACTAGCACGGACATCAACCCCATATTGATTACGTGGACTTACCGCCTGTGGCTTTTTGGATGGCCTAACCGGGGGCCGGTTCACACCATTAATTTTGTTATAGAGACCGCACGCGTTGCATAGGTAATGCCCCGTGCCGTCTCTGCGCCATAGTGGTGTGACACTTGCGCCGCAATTAACGCACTCTTTGACAAGTACCTCTGAAGGTTGTCTCTGGGACGGCGAAACGTTGGGACCCTCGTCTAAGGCGCCGTTTGCTTGCCAATTGCCGCTGAAAAACTGTTGTGTGCTGCTGTCAGCTTGATGGACCACATTTAAGTTCGCTTGGTAAGCTTGGTAAGCCTGACCCGAAGTGGACCAGCTGCCGCTGGGTGCTGTCGTGAATTGGTAAGTTTCGCCTGTTTGCGGAGCGGTCAGCGTAATTTGATTGAGCTGCTGGCTGCTGCTTATGTCGTAGTTCTAGAAAAGATGTATACTTCAGTGTATTTCATCTGGTGATTTAATATTTTCGATATTATGAGAGAATATTTACAACCTTTCAAGAAGCTGAAGACGTAGAACCAACATGTTTGTAGAATACGCACATGTCTACTATTCTTATCTGGGAACTTCTCAAAAGAATATAGGAAAAATTGTACAATTTGACTTAATAATACTTTTAACAAACCTCTAACTGGCAGTGAGATTTATAATGTTAAAATAATTAGGTGAATATGATCCGTCAACAAATTTTAAGTTCATATAACTACGAAACCAGTGTTTTGCCATAGAATTTAGGTTGTTATTTTCATCCTGGCTAATCGGTTTATAGGAATGTAAAATACTTTCCGAAAGCAGTCTGTTTTCATTGATTGGATTTGTTTTCGAGACGTCAAAATACAACCAGACATACAACTGTTTCTCGCATTATTATTAACTTTTTATTTCTATTGCTTAAACTGAACTTGAATAACTGAATTAGGTACAATTTCTTTAGGGAATTCAAGAGGTACTAAATATGCTATCGCCTTAATAAAAAAATGTATTACAGATTCTGGTTATCCCATTCCCATGATTCAAACGGACTTGCGTAGTTAAATTTTACTATGTAAATTTTCCCTTTTTAGATACTCTTCTTATCTATTTGCACTTTCGTGACAGTAAAAACCGTTCGTGGAAATTTTTCGGACGTAGAACCAACCTATGATGTTATCAGATTTTCTCCAGAATACCTAACATTTTAGTTATAAAATAAAAATTGTGTTTTTATAATGGGCCATTTTAGAAAAGTGTTAAATTATATTACTATGTAATAGCTTCGGGAAAATATACAAGGTGCCTGGAACATTTCATTTTTTGGGAAAACAGGACTTTGAAATTTGCTGAAACTTTGGTCACGTAAAAATATGTCCCTGGACTGATCTCTCAGATAAAATACCCTATTTATTCTCAGAACGCTTCCATTTCATATAACATGTTCCTAACTTTCTACTCCCCGTTTTCCCAAAACGTCTATGTTTCATCAACTGTGTGAGGTTCTGTATATTACTTGATAGTTGAAACTAAAAATATCCAATTTACCTACATAATGCACTTCAGGTCGCGTAATTCTGTCAAAAATCCTCCACGGGTCATTTGTATGAGAATTATGTTGAAAAGATATAATTTTTAATTTTGCCATGAAGCCATTGTTAGCTTCCAAGTCTAGGAATAAACAACAAGAGCCGTTTCACAAACTGGGAACCTTTTAAATCTACTACAAAATGCAAAAAAAATATAGTTTCCATTCCAGGAGAAGAAAATCCTTTCATTTTAATACGGGATTTACTTTGTTTCACCCTTTTATCTATTTGCTTCTATGCTAAATGTAATGGTTGTGAAATAACAGTAAACGGAAGCTAGTAGTGGAAATAAAATTAGGAAATAAGTCTGTTCTTTTTGAAATGGGGTGAATTAAAGATAACTTATATACTAATATATTTGTTTTTTTTTATGAAACTGAATGAAATCGAATTGAAATATGATCAAAGTTTTCTCTTCACTCAAAAACTCACCTGGTATCTGGAGGAACCCAATGTTGGGTCGCTATGTCTGAATAACATATTATTTCCACTGGGCGGACTATCAGTACTATTCCTATCGAGATACTGCATGGTGCTGTACTGGTGATGTTGTAGATATTGAGACCCATCGGCTGGAAATTGTCCGTTATTATAGTGGGCCGTCTCTAAGTTTGCGTAATCTGCAGATGCCTCAATAGAACTTTCGATAGTAACTGGTACTATACTACCCCCTTGATCAATTTGTACTGTCGCCGTAAATCCCGTTTCTTGGTTAGTGTAATTGGTCTGAGCTTGAAATGGCTCTCCCGTTTCTGATGTAAAATTTTTTGAATCGGCATATTGATCTGGGTGGCCAGATTCAGGAATCAAAAGTCTATAAGCGACCACGTCTTGATTCGCAGCTGGCTTTTCGTCTTGGGGGCTCATTTCCTCTGGTGAAGTTGTCGTATTGACGACTACTTCGTTAGTAACTTCGAGCTGATCTTCTGCTGCCTCTATAGTACCCGCAGATGTAAGAATGTTCCTCCTGATAACAGTTGGAGGTGCGCTGACTGATTGCTGATTTTGTTTCTGTTCTGGAGACGATTGACCGGATTCAATTTTTGGCACTTTACCATCCTCTTCTTGTTTCAGCGTTACCTCTTTTTGCGGTGAAAGCGCTTCATCTTTGTTTGCCATGTTGATTCTGGAAACGAACAAAACCCATTGTTCACCATTAAACACCACTACACTGTAATTACAAAACGGGAGACTTATTCGTTATGATTAAAGTAATGTGCGGACGCGAACTGAGTACTTTCTGGTGACTTGAAGGAGACAATTCATTCAATTTGTGGTCCGTCCCATCAGACCATACAAAGCTTACATTTAAACCCGAACTGATAATGTTGAGTATTTGCGTTGGCGACAGGTTATTTCTGGTGGAAGGTGCGAACGTACAATCGGAAGGTATGATGTGGAGTTATTTGAACAGAACATCCGTTTCCCGCGCGTGTCGGCGTTAAGTGTACATTGTTTTTTCGGAATCATATTGTTAAAACTACACCTAAATTCGATAAATTGACGACAGGTCCGTGAGCAAACAGTGAGTAATTTGGGTTGACAGACAGAAAAATACGCAACATTTAAACCACAAACGGAATAAATCGATCACAAAATTGCAAATTCAACCAAATTTTTGAAATGTTCACCTAACTTGTTTACTATTTATTTTTCTATCTAATCTAATAGTCAATAATGACTTGGTCATATATATGGATAGTTATTTATGTTAAGTGTGGAGAAATTGTTCATGATTTCCTAAAGTAAAAATAACTATCTGAAATGTTTATGATATTGATGATATTTTTAATGTACCGGGATTGAATTTCTAAATTGTCAGTTTGTAAGACATTTGAGCGTTTGCACGGGTATGTCAACAAAATGACGTGTGATCAATGCTACAGATGCAAGATTCGAAACATATAAAATATATTTGTTGTCACTATTTTCTGGCTTTAATTCGGGTTTTGTGATAAATCTGATAAATCCACAGAAAGTTTATTTTCGAGTGGCAGTATTAGGTGGCACTTTATATAAATTAACTAATTGTAAAATATCCAAGTGAAAGGACTTCTGCACATAATTGGCTACTCTTGCGGGAATGTGAAGAAACATATCCTAAAACAGTGGTGGGGAATCTTTTTTTAAGACGGGCCATTTGTAATAACTACACAATCGTAGCGGGCCAAAGAATAATGCTTAATAGTTAAAAAATGTGGGTTTTATAAACATATACATATATTATTACATACCCTTATTATTTTAATAGTAAAAAAGCAAAAGGTAAGAAAATTATAAGCACAAAATATAAAATGATTTTAGTGTATTTCTTGAAGTGAAACATTATCACTTTTTTTTCTGCTGTCATTACTGGTTGATGGTGCATGAGAAAAATGAAATTGAAATCCTTAAAACTGATGGAAGGTGCTCATCTCTAATTTTGTTTCTTAAAGAAGTTTTGCTAAGCTTCATTGTTGAAAAGATTTGTTCGCGTATATAAGATGAGCCGAACATTGTCATTATCTTCATTGCATGAGTAATTAGATTTGGGAAATTATCTGGACTTAATTTTTTATAAAATTCTAGTAATGGCACTGAATGAAAAGTTTGTATCAGGAGAGTATTACAGTTGAATGGAGTCGCAAAAATACTAAACTCTGGATCCATTTTTCTAAAGTCCTGAAATCTCCTTTCAAATTCTCAAATTAATTTCGTATTTTTTAATCTTATCGTTCAAACATTCTCACGACGGCACTCCTAAACGGGCCGGATTAAACCTTTCCGCGGGCCGTAGTTTCCCCATCACTGTCCTAAAAGATGGATACAATTGAATGACCCGCTATGTCTCTCGATAAGACTCCGCTTGATTGCTTTTTATATGCTCGTTCGTTAATATACCTGGTGTTCTATTTAAAATGACAAGTGTGTCACTTGATTCCGAAAATGCAGTAACTGAGTATATACCTATAACAATACAATATTTTAAAAGTTTAAGTGAAGCCAAACAACTTTTGCCATTAATTCTTTTGTTAATTTTTACAGGTTCTCAGATAGAGTGTCATCCCATAATAAACGAACCACCCAGTACATGTTGATCATTGCTACTATAGTCGTCAGTTGCAGTTACAATAAAGAGAGCTTTTCTGGTCGTATTTTCAAAAATAGATGTGTTGGTTTCTTGAATTGTATTTTAGTTATACTTCGACGGATAAATAGGTCTCCCGCCTGATATTTTTATTACGTACAGCAAGTTATATTATTTGCAGAGATTTTAAATGTAGTAAATATCTTTCGTAGCGTTAAAACACCTATTTGTTTAAGTGTATTTGTTTAGTCTCTGTAAATACGATGTTGTTACAATAAATGGTACTCTATTGTCACCGCCATATGAAACCAATTTATTTAACCCACCGAAATCTTCAAACAAATACATAAAGTTCTTGGTAACATTAAATTATTTGGACTTAGGTAATTTCGGAAAATAATTATTTAATCCTTCAATCTGAATGATTCAGTTGATATTCCAATTTTAGGGTGCAGTTTTACGCGATACAAAATTACTTAGAAAAGCAAACGGTTCCTTGAACATAGGGTATTACACACTTTCAACCATGTATTTGTTTAAACAAATGTGGGTGTCAATAATGGCATATTTGCGTAGAACTTTGGGCGTAGTCAAGGGTTTGACCTAATTAACGAATGGGGAAAACCTCCATTATGGTTGCAAATAGGAAAGACAAAGTCAAAACTTAACAGTGAGATCTTTTGGATAGGCAAATGTGGTAAAGCGACTGGGTGGTCTCAGTTATTGTTAATTTTTGTAGCATAGAAATTAAAAATCAAAATGCCAAAGTTTTTCTTCTTTTATATACAAAATTTTATTTTATTTATATGTTATCGGTAAACTTGCACAGTTCCTATGTGGGATTTTGAAATCGTAAAAATGACAGTTGATATTTTTTTTGAAACAAGTATTTGTGGTGATTTACTCAATTTTGGTAGACTTCTTGAATTAACAAAATAGTACATTGAAAATACCTTAGGGAACATTTTTCAACTGAAAATGCGATCACGCCCTTCAATTATCCAACAACTTATCTGCCATAGAGCAACAGATTATATCACAATAAAAGACTTGTTCAATATATTTGATGGCTAATTTTAAAATAATACGGGTCGTTGAAAGTAAAGTTTGATACATATTTGGTAAAATACGAAGATTTTAAATCGGGTATTTAAATTGATCGACAGAAAACAGTTGTCGTAGACATTCATGTTTCACTTTTTGAAAAACACATCTTCGGTACATTGACATCGACACTGACAAAGGGTAGGTGTAACCTTACTTTGAAATCAAACCGGTGTCAGTTTTAAGTCAATATTAAGTACGTAAAAACGCTGTCTAGCTTAAAACTAATACCAAATTCGGATTTTGCAAATTCCAAAACGGTAGTCTAGTCTATTCTATTGCTTCACTGTTTTTAATCTGATACTAAATAAATAAATAATAAAATCAAAAAGTAATATTTTAATAAATAATATAATACAAATATTTTTGAAAAGTACATATTATTATCAATCAAAAGAAAAGATAATATTTAGAGAGTATTCCATATATTTAAAAATAGGATATTTAAAAAATATCCTATTTAAAATTTAACACGTTTTTAACAAATGAAATTTGCTAGGTCTTCTTCCAAACTTACCACAAGGGATAATTTTGTCTGAAACTGGCCGTGTAATACCCGTCTTAACTTTCTGCTGTGACTAGTTTTAGTGCTACTAGTGGACCAAAAATTCATTTGATATCGACCTATGCAATGATAAAAATAAATATCTTACAAAGTCTTAGAAGTTTATCCCAATCATCCCATAATTTGTAAACGTCTTAATAGAGCGTTTTTTATCATTAAATTACTGTGAGTCATAAGATGTCTGACTGTAAAGATGCCAGAATTGAATTTGGGAATCAGATTCCCACATTCTAGAAGCCTACTTCAAGACACTCTAGAGACCCTCAAACAACTCAAAAGTTCATCTGACTACTCGAAGCATGATTACTAAAATGGGCAAATAAAGTATTTTAAATGGAAGATTTTTTTAAATAATAATATTTATTAACAATTTATCAAACTAACTCCGCTCTCATTCATTCCGCAAACTCTTTTCATTTGTATGCATATTAGTGGGACACAAATTCAGGAACGATTCCATCTAAATACAGAATTTTCAATATCATTGCAATTAATCTGAACTTTACGATATTACCTTTAAGATGTCCTCCCTGTTTGATTCCGAATTTACCTTTTATAATTTTTTTGCATTAAGAAACAGACCATAGTGATGAGAATTTTTCTTTCACTCAATTCAGCCCTTTTCAGTTCACGTTATTAACTTATTTTAACTACCGCAGTCACTACTAGCTTTCACTTCTTCAATATATATAATGTCACTAGTAGTGTTGGGGCTGGTCAATAAATACATTACAAATAATTAATTGACTAGTCAAATTCGATCAAAATATTTAAAATAACTTCTCGCAATTGTAGAGTGTTATCTATCATCATTTAATAATAATAATACCTATTTTTGTGAAGTCCAATTTACCTATAAACCTCTACAAGGAATACTCGAATACGACACTTAGCGATTCGGGGAGTCTGAATAAAAATATCGACTCTATTTAAAATAATACGATGAGAATATTATCTGTTCCATTCCAAATTCCATTTCCAGGGGTCTAACAAGTTCACTTGGCCCCATACGTTTTTGTCATCAACGTGTAGATGGGTATAGCTTTAATTTCATCTGTATGACAGTTAGAACTTAATTAACTCTTAAAGTGAAGTCATATACCTATTACGGGATTATACCTATAATTAACTGCTATTCTTAAGCCGCGTCCCATGTGTAATAATAATTGCAAAATGCTTGTTGTCAAATACGAGCTGGTCATTTAATTCCATTACTTACTAGATATTGTGCCACTATTTCAATAAACAATTACATATATTAATACTAGCTATATTCTCACTCCGCTTAAATTAAAAGCTGAACAACCCTTCAAGGAATGTGTTTTTTTAAACAATACAAAAATTTAACGGATATTTTCATATTTTTAGATTAAGGCTGCTAACCTAAACTAAACTTCAGGATCCTTCGAAAAATTTTTAATACCCAATTTTTTTCTTTAACTCTTACGATCAGGGAAGCAAACCCGCCCCAGAAAATGGTAGTTATCATAATATGAAAGACGTCGAAAATTCATTTCCAATAAATTAATAAACATCACAAATGAAACCTACCTGATATTACACTTATCACCACACACTCACACAAAGATAAATACTAATTGCGCGATAATGTAATCTTAATACATCAACTCTCGGGAGTAAAATGCTATAGGTACCTATCTCCCACAACTCAGGTGGGCTACACATATACGTAACAGCGCAATCTCACACCTCTCATCAAAATGGTTGCCGTTTTGTTTATTTAAGATTTACCTAAATTTATTCCGTTGTGGAAGGGTTGGCGATTTTTTTACGGTTTCTGAATTCTTTGGCCGAAGGGATTCCTTTCTAAATATTGTTAATATTATCTGTTCGGCCTTAACCTTTTAATAATAAGATAGATACAGTATCTCAGTATAATAAAATTTATCAAAATATTGTCAACATTATAATCTACTACTACCCCAACAAGACTTATTTAACTTTTTAATCAGCTTGTTCACACTAACTTGTTTGCTACCGACTTTATCTTTAAAATCCTGTTTTTTAGTAAGCCTTCGGGTGTGGTACGAAACGTTCCTCCTCTCTCTTGCGTGATAAAACCTAAAATTTTAGTGCCAACATTCGATTCCCAGCGATCCCTAAATTGGAATTTCTCTTTTAAGGTAAATGGTTGTTTCAGAAGTCGCATCCTTTCAATTATTGAATGGAAAAATGTATAGTGGTTAAGAACTGTGTAGGAACCTTGGAAACACATTTTGATTTTGGAAGACTACTAGGACTAAAGTGTTTTTGAATACGTGTTTCCTGGCCAGACTTCATTGATTTTGTAGCCATGGATGAACTCTGTGTTGGGATTTTGTTCTTTTCCTGAACCAAAATTGCAGAACTGTAGAGCCCTTGGTCAAACGTTTTGAAGACAACATCGCCCGCCATCAAAATTCGCTACACTTTGTTACGGAGGACAGAACTGTTTGACTTAATACAGCTGTCTTTAATGTACAAACGCACGATTTCCTCTCTTCACTGAGGCAGTAGATACGATACGTTTCACATATCTCTGATTATCTGGGTTTCTAATAATCATATACAAGATAGAATAATCTTTTTCCGCAAATAATACCAAATTTATCAGTTCAACTTCGTAGTCAAAAGAGACGAGTTCTCGACTTCAATTTGCGCGTTTCTCGTAGCGATAAAAATACGGTTGTTTAAAAAGTAACGTGTAAGGAACCTTACCAATGGAGGAACACTAATTTGCGTACTGGTCACTAGGTTGTAATGTTTCACTTGACTAGAAAATGATACGTGGTTGATCCGCGGTGTCGACAAGATGGCTGAATTGTCGATGACGTGGGTGCTATTATTGTGTGTGAAATTTTGATCGATCGATCGCGATAAGATGGAGTGTACTAAGGTCTATATGAAATCATATTTATTTTTTGATCGCTTTTGTTAGCGCACCAAACATCTTAAACACGTTTCCCGATTCTACCAAATTAGTCCCATCAAATTTTAATAAAAACAAACATGTAATATACTAATTTTTAAATATATTTTCAATTATTTGGACTTTTCATTTTTACACGACCCAGATTAATTTTTCTCCGTATGGAAAATGTAAATTTGATAATATTTGAAAAACGATTAAATTGATTCGTAAATTTTTGGACATCCTGCAACTGTTAAATCAAGTGATTCCAAATACTATTTGGTGTTAGTCTTACCATTCCGCCAGTCAAAAATCATTAAATGGAGCCGTGTTGAAAAATATAAATATAGAAGAATTAGGTGAGGTTAGATGGCACTTAGGAGATACTGGGCGTATCCATTATGGCACTTATGCCAAAATGGTCGTGCAGAACTTTCATACAAACAATATTTACATTTAATAACATTTCATTACATTTCACTAATGAATAATGAATAAACCTTAGCTTTAAGAACCATATATATATCTCTGGCCAGACTTCAGAGAAAAGTTACTGTGGTAAGTATAAGTAAACCAGTTAAACGAAAATGCTAAAAATTATGTTCGGTTTCTGAAATGTAACAACCCGGTTTCTGCAAAATTTTCTTGTATTAAACATAGATGGAGTAAGTGAGCAATCCTTTAGAGCTGAGACAATTCAAATCTTTTTTGTTCAATGGCTCTTTGCGCAAAAGCTTTAATAACGAATAATTTGAAAAATAAATGTTTCCAACTTCTAAAGAAGGATTGCATTTCAAAAAACTTCGATAAATAGGCACCTTGTCACCAAAATGAATTTTCTATCATAAAAAAATAATAATTTTCGGAATAAATAATGCAACAATATAACTCTTTACGTCATTGCATAGTCAAATAATGACCCAATAAACAATCTAGCAATATCTTTATCCTCACCTAAAATATGTTTTAATTTTGAAAAAAAGCTCCACTTTACATGATGTCCATTTATTTTTTCAACTCCCAACTATAACGTTCTCAATTATGCGTGAGTAATGTGGTAAGACGTCAGCCCTTACCCTTATACTGCCTTGATAAACACATCAGTCAACTGTTTATTAAGGACTCGCTCCCCTCATCACCAATGAAACTTGTGATTAAAATGTTTATCGAAATTGTGGCATGACAAACTCATTTTTAGGAAGCCAAGTGATATGTATATCAAAGTAATTTTCGTTATTTTTATTTATCACTTCGTTTACGATACTTTCAAACGCTACAAATTTACCTAGTAGCTGACATTAATTTGTTTTGATATCCTTTGTCCATCCTTAACTTTTAAAAGCAATGGTTACGTCCTCGAAAATATGACTAGGCAAATTAAGTGAAAAAAATGTAAGTTAATGTTTTCAAACGACAGATTTCGGTCTTGAAAAATCCTTTTATTTGCTCTTACAGAGAGAATTACGCGCTTTTAATTAAGCTTATATAAGCGAAAGAATGGATACAAAACCAGTTTTCCCCATATTTATAAGATTCCTATGGGAACGTCGCAGATATTGACACCAGAGTCTTCAATCACATAACTAACGAAGATTTCCTTAACTTGACTCTATATACTTGTAGGTGGTTAGTAGTAGTAGTAGCTCTACTATTGCGAAAATACACCCTTCGATCTTTAAAAACACTTGTACAATTTTTTTCCTTTTATTTTTTCAAATTTTACTTTGTTTCTACCCTTATTAAGAATTCTAATTCTGATATAAATGCACACTAATTTGAGAATTGATAAATTATTTAGTTAAAAGTGAGGATTACTGGTAAACTGGCAAACTAGTCACCACAATTAACCAGAAACATGGTACCATAAATTTTTGAATTTTGTTTCTATGGTCTATTTACTCTTCGCATGTTTGCTGCTTGTGGCGCGCTTACCCCAGCAGATGAGATCAACTTTTCTTTAATTTGACCTTAAGCTAAAACATCCCGATGGCAACCGACGAGCACATAGAAAGAACATTTAAATAGAACACTTTATTTTATTTTTGATTTAAAAAGTTATTCAGACGGAGCACACAAACAATCTAAGAATTTTTTGAAACAAATATGGTGGCAAACAAATTTTTTAAAATCTAATTATGTACAACTAAACAACAATATACAGATTAGACGATTAATTAAATCTATTTTCTTTGGAAATATAGTCGCGCAGAAAATACAAAAATAGCACTACAAAAATTGTAGACACATTGGAAAATATTAATAACGAATATTCATTTTTCCTCTTTTTGCTGTGGTCAATTACTTACAACCAGATGGAAAATTATATTTCGTTGAATTAAAAATTCAATTAAAGTTATTACAAAAGAGAGCAAAGAGCAACAATCTCATATTAGATTAATAATATAATCTTTGGATATTTTAACAAAAATATGTAATATTTTAGAAAATTAATTAAAAAATTAAAAATTAAATATCAAAAGCAGTACATAAAATTGTGATTAAATTAACAAGGCATATTTTAAAAAACTGGAACAAAGACATCTGCTATTAAATTTAGCAAACGTGAGGTTTGAAACTGAATAATTGAATTGATGGTTGAATTTTCTGTTGTAAACGTCATACTGCACAAGATGTACATACAAAATGGTTGATTTTTCTAAAGTCGTCGAGTGCCTTATCAATCTCAAATTTTTCAATCTCATTATATGACCTACTCAGAACTACATCTCTACATTCCCCAGGGTGCGTTATTCAATCGAATCGTGGTTTATCAACTAATATATTATATCAACCTATATATATTATAAATCATTTTATCACAAGTTTTACGAAGCCCTGGAAAATAGTTTCCTCCTGCATCTGTCGTTCGTTGCTCAAATACAATGTAATTTGTTACAGGACGAGTAACAATTTACAAATGCCTGCGTAATGAGTAACATACACTTTTATAGGTACTTTAACTATAGGAAAGTCACGTTTTATATATAATCAACAGTAAACGATGTTAACTTAATCTTATTTACAATTATTAACGATTTTAGCAGGCTTGCGACGAAAGTGATACCACAGTCGGCCTTTCTAAGGTATGCTCGGCGTTGATGATAATTTCCGAGTTGTTATTATTGTTATTGTTGTTATTCACAAGATGGGGAGAGTGCGGAGATTCCGAATTTATCTCAGACGAAGTGGAGGGTGGACTGGGACTGGAGTGGTGAAGAATATCAAAATATTGTTGTGTCATGTTGTGCGGTGAATGCGATGAGTAGGTCGGGCTCAACCTTTGGTGCGGTTGATTGTACAGAAAACTAGACGGCGACGTGTGTTGAAGATGCGATACATTAAAGACATCTGAAACAAAAAAAATATATAATAAAACCTATTGAATTTAGCAATTCCGCGGTACTAACTCGTCTAGGTCGGGGGGAAGATTAATTTAAATTCGCTTACTAAAATTGAGTTGCTGTATTTATAGAAGCATAGAATCAAATTTAATAAAGTTCTTAATATAATGCTCTCTGTGTGATATAACCGGGAACAATTTTTGTTAGTAGATAGTTACAGGATTAACAGCACTAAATGTTCTATTAAAAGCTAAATTTATTGAGTCTTACGCAGATAATTACCAATCAAAATCTAAAAGCAGTAAATTTTCAACTAAGATCGCGTTCCGTCTTTTTCATACAACTAATTGTGAGGTGACACTAATGTTGCTTACCCATTGTTTCAATTTTAACGGAGTTTTCCATTTTGATTCTACCTGTCACCGCCTGTCGTTGCACTTGGCCACCGCTGCCTTGAGAAGACGATTTACTGCCCTTAGGTTTCCGTTTCCTCGTCTAAAACAAAATAGGATTATATTATTTTTTTGAGGATGGGTTTACCTGGTTTAAGTATTAAACAATTTACACCAAGTGACCTTATCCCCAAACGACAAACCGTAGTTGTTTTTGCTTAGTTTTGGTTAGTTAGTAACTAACCAAATTAAGATTCTAAACACACATTAATCTATTTTAATGAATCATAATTGAGAGATTTAATAATTTTTCGATGCAATAAAATTTCCTTTTTAGGATCCTTATATTTATCTCTACGAAGTCACTTATTCATTTCAATACAACAATGTGGTATCCTTGTATTCCTAAAGATAAAAATTATTTTTTAAAAATTCTATTCTCTATTAGACTTTGATCTTTTTAATATTTTGATAGCTTGTGAAATCTGTCGTGAAAAATGTAATACATCATTAAAAGGGTAATAAGAGACTACTTAGAACTGCAAATCGCAATATGGTATCCATGACAAAAATTATTGATGATAGTTTAACTAAAACGAGATTTTTGACTTGCATAAAAGTTGAAGCTGAAAGCGTTCCAATGAGAGTGTATTTCTAACAAGTAAAACCAAAAACCAGAAATATCAGTTTTTTTTTTGTATTATTTACCGAATTTGCAAAGATAATATTTTTCAACGGAACATTGTCCATCGAGGGGCAACGTTTTAATTTGTCGTGTGTCTATTAACGTTTCTGAGATTACAATATGGGGGATGAGTTAAGCCCATACTTATATTTGCTGTTAGTATTCGGCATTTTATGAATGACTTATATCTGAACAATTGGAAGATTTTGAAACCAAAAAAAAGTCAAGTAAGCTGCTAGTTGAAAATGCCTCCTCAGGGAGCAAGGGAGTCATGATTATGGAAATTTTTCTTTTTTTTACACATCTCCCATAGTTTTTTATGCAACCTACATTGAACAATGCAATAGTTTTACACGTCTATTGAAGAAGTGGTGCATTAATTTTGTGGGTAAACTGTCCACCCAGTGATTTTGTGGAAGATACTTACTTGTATATTGTCTTTTTTCATCGATAATGGCCGGTTTACAGAGTGTAGTTTGTAATATAAACCGCACGCATTGCAGACTGGTTCGCCGTGAGCGTTGCGTCTCCATAAGGACGTAGTTGTTGTTTCACAATTGGTGCATATCAGCCCGGCTTTTCGAGATGCACTCTAAAATATCATATTCTTCGTAATATATATTTTAAACCATTTTTTTAAATATTGTTAATATGATATAGTACATCTGTTTTAATAAAGTCCAGTCGTTATTATTTCTGTGATATAATTTAAATGGGTAGATTGGGACCACACTGACGTACACTACTTTATCATAAGGGATTGAAATCGGCAGAACCGGAATAGCGAAAACAGAAGACAGTAAAGTGAGGAAGAGAAAGAAAGCCTCTCTTAAACGTACCAGTCGGCGACTACTTTTCTCTTCAGTGGCCAGCAAAGGGGCACGAGTGGCCCCATTATACCCATTGTAGTAGTTCTTGTAGTAATCTGGAACACCCCCGTTACTGGGCTCGGCCGCCACTGGAACGCAAAACAAGGTGGTTACAGATTGACATAGCGATTAACTTTTCAGATTATTTTTTGATTTACTGGCAAACCAAAGAATTGATATTTAAACCGGCTTTGGTGTTCGTAGTAGCTTAGCCTCGCACATCGGGGGTGTTTTGTAAGGGTGTTTCCTTTACGAACGATTAGAATAAATAGATTTTACATTCGTGGCTTTATCGTTGCAGCTGAAAGAGAAGCAGCATACTTACACGTAAAGCGATTCTTGAACTTTTTAATGTTGTGGCCTTTTAAAAGCTATCGGACTGCCTCATTTAAAATAGTATCCAGACGAAAAGCTAGGTAGTTGAATGAATGTTTTTGTTGAGTTAAAAATATATTGAATTGTTTGTTATTATAAAATTCTTTAATTTGGATGACGCCTATGATGTGAATATATTGATATCAACTCCCAAGTGAGTTACTTAATTTTTCCAGTGGACCATTTACTTCCGGGGTACTTCGGAACTACTCTCAAAAGTTGGACTTGGAAACGACAAAAATTCCAAATAATAAACCTGAATTTCGCAAAGCACCGTAAAAACGGCGTCCGACGAAATGAAAAACTTTAGCTCGATGATGGAAGATAACCGACAAACCGGAAAAATAAACTCCTGTTTATGGAGTATTAGAGCTTTAAATAATTTTCGGGAAGTAAATATAAAACACTAATTTGACAACAATGCTAGAAATAGTGAAAATTTGAATTTCCAAGTGCTTTGCTACACAAGAGAAAAGTCGCGTTCATGCAACAAATATCGCCATGCAAACCTAGATGACTTTAATCGTTCGTTCGGAAACACTCCGCCGCGCGATGTTAATGGATGGATGATGCAAAACGTAAAAATTACGTATTAGTATGAAATATTGTACCAATCTGCGAGGCTGCTTCACCAATGGCCGGTTCATTCCATTCATCTTATGGTACAGTCCGCATGCGTTACATAAATAATGGCCGGTGCCGTCTCGACGCCACAAAGGGGTGTCGATTGCGCCACAGTTCACGCATTCCCTACCTTCGGTGAAGTATTCGGCGGTCCTGGGATCGACTAGTGGAATAAATAATAAACATGACCAACACGTAAACTTAAGGCCGTTCAAACATGCAGGAAATATTAGAATTTTCCACTGGCATTATGTGCACAATGTAACAAAAACAATTAACAATGCAGTCTTTTCGCTCGTTTTGGAAATATTTGCGAAGTATGTCCAAAAAATATGCGCCAAATTCTTGCGTGTCCACGAGTTTAATTAAAAAATACTTTGAATTTTTATTATGACTGTAAATAAGTAAATAATTTCTGAAATGATAATCTACTTCCTATTTTAAAATATCCAATTATGCACAAATGAAGCGTGCGAAAAGTGTCACTTTACAACGTCAGCTTCCTGACCACTTCCGATTCCGATTTCCGATACGGATGTCATTTTGACCGTCACACACAGCTTCTTATTCAGTGAGCATATTCGTGCAAAATGGTCATAGGAAAACTACAGTATACAACAGTACTACTACAGTACAGTAGTAGAGTATACAATACAAGGATTTTAGTTACTCATATATTAAACAATCGCTCCGCTAGAATCAAAACGAACTAATAACTAAAGTGTCGTTAACTTGTTGCATAGTATACTAGCAATAGTATTTCAGCGGATTCAATTAAAAATATCCACCAATGCCAATAGATAGATAGATAGATAGATAGATAGATGGTTGACTACTTTACAATATCATTGTTTGTAGCAAGTCATACAAAGGAAAAAAAATCAATTGAATCTATGTAAGTATATGCTAACATAAAATTGTATATAACGTCGTAATAATAACAGAACAACAGATAAAAAAATAAATTTATATGTATATAGCACAGAACAAACATTAGAATACAATCAATACTGACCTAAGTGACCGAAACAAGAGCTGACACCACAAAAACATCAGATATGTTTGAAGTTTGCGGGGTGAAAACATTGAGAAGATTCGTTGATAAGACAAGAATGGACAGAATTAACAATAAAGATGTCAGGGATAAGTTATAGAAAGTTAGCTCATAGGTCCAAAGGAGTAGGGCAGGGTGGCACACGTATTGAGAATGGATGAAGACTAGCGAGGAAGGCTTATGAAAACGTTCCCTGTGGAAAAAGAAGTCGTAGTCGACAAAGGAAGACTTCTGGATCTCGGTTGTTGTTGAGGCAAACTTGCTAACGCTTCGCCAATCTTCCATCCATATCGAGTAAATGGAATTTTGTCTTTAACAGATCGCAGATATTCAGAGATTTTTGGACAACAATCTTCGATCCGTCAGATTCCATTTGAGATCCAGGAGTTTGCAGCATTCCATGCATACGCGTCAAAGAATACATCGGAGAGGCCAGACGAAAAGTATCGACTAGGCTCAAAGAACATGAAATAGCCTTAAGACTAAGAAAAATAAACTTATCAGCAGTTGACGAATTTGATACGAATACAATGCGATACAGCACGAATACATTCACTGAATGGCGTTGTGACGTGATCCTCAGAATTGATAAACGTCAAAATACCATCAGTGTTTTTATGCTACCGAAAACATCTGATGGCTCCTAACCCGTGCCTAAATACCTGAAATGCTCCAAGTGGCTCGCGATAGTGTTTAATGAAACTGACATTTTATGAGAGTCTGCGCATACCTGATCAACATTTAATTGGATATTTAGAGTAGGGAGTAGAAAAATGTCCGTAATACATTCTATACCTTATAATGGGTGTTTTTTTTCGATGTATAGAACTTTAAGTTGGCATTACTGTTCAAGATGGCGACCGATTTAACAGATGATTTATTCTCAGTTTGGTTTGGCAATTCATGAAGCGCACATCTGGTTGAATGGTTACGTCAACAAACAAAACTGCCGCATTTGGAGCGAAGCTAATCCTCAAGTGTATGTCGAAACACCGTTACATCCAGAAAAACTGACTGTTTGGTGCGCTTTATGGGCTAGTGGAATCATTGGTCCGTACTTCTTCAAAAACGATGATGACCAGAATGTTACAGTCAATGGTGATCGGTATAGAGCTATGATTACTAACTCTTTCATTCCTGAATTTAATAACCATGATCTCCAGGAGATGTGGTTTGAACAAGACGGCGCAACATGTCACACAGCTCGTGCCACAATCGATTTATTGAAAGCTATGTAAAGTTATTGGTCTATGCGGATAAGCCACCAACGCTTGACCATTTGGAAGACAATATTCGCCGTGTTATTGCCGATATACGGCCACAAATGTTGGAAAAAATCATCGAAAATTGGACGTCCAGATTGAACTACATCGGCGCCAGGTCGGTCATATGCCAGAAATCATATTTAAAATGTAATGCCACAAGATTATCTTTCGGATAAATAAAATTCATGTCAATAGAATAATCCATCGTTGTTTTATTGCAACTTAAAGTTCTATACATCGAAAAAAAAACACCCCTTATTTCAAGTTAATAAAATAAGCTTACAAATAGGAAATGGTAACCCAAAAAATTTTTTGAATAACGACTACATTGTGTGCGGAAGCGTTTGGTTATGTACACTTTTATTTGGTAGACTCAAAAAATAAAAATTATTGAATCACGGAATACGCAATACTAATAACTGAAAGAACATAAAAGAATTTTTGCATAGCTATAAATTTCTGAACAGGGGTATCGTATGAAAAACTAAGTTAGGAATATCCTCTAATTAGCATTTATAAATATATTTTCGCCCATGATTTACGAAATTATATTATGCTGTTGAGATATTCTCGAGAAAATACTGATCTACTAATATTTTTGTGTAATTGATTTCAGTTCCTATTTTTCAATTGGATTTGTCAATTTTGGTTTCAAGTATTAACGTTTTTTATTGCAAATTTATTTTCCCAAATTTGCACCTAAAAGAACAAAGAAAGAAAGAGTATTATGTCTGATTTTGCCTTAAATACACCAGATCGACATTTTAATGTTCTTATTAATAACAGTTTCCACAGCTCTTTGTTCATACTGAGTATCAACTGTTAAAATGGTTGTCGAAGATTAAAGGAAACACAGAATTTGGTACTTTTTCGAGTCATTCTTAGGTTTGAAAAATCGCACAAATTCGTAATAAATTTGGACAAAGAAATCAATATAATTTTAAATATTTTAATTTGCTGATAGACGTCAATAATGAAATAGCAAAATAATATTTAATGATATTTGTATAATTCCGCAAATGTGGTGTTTATTTTTTTATCGAAATACATATTAAAAAAGCAAGTGAGTCAATTTGACTCGATCACTTGAATCTAGTTAGTACTAAATCAGACTCTCAACGCTGTCAATTTTCAATAAAGGCTGGTTAATTAAATCCAACGTTATGAAAAAAACCATAGAAAAAAATAACATTCATTATTTTGAAAGCAAAGCGATATTCGAACAAAACAAAACCCGCCCCTTTTATTTTAAGAAGAAGTTATAAAACACTTACTTTTGGTACAAAAACATTTTTATTTTTAAAGATAATCAACTTTTTTAATTTCTAACACAGCGTCTGCTGTGATTTTTGAAGTAACTACTCGATTTTTTACATTTCAAAACTCCAAACCTATAACCAATCAACCATTCTGCTAATTGGTGATTTCTGTATTATCACAAAGGTCTATAAGTTCTCTAGCGGTCACGACGAAGCATTATTCGATAACGTATAAAAATTATTTTAAAAAATGTTAAAACCAAACAATTATGAAAATAAGAGTGCGCAGCAATTACTTCGTAATCAAATACCACGAACTAAACAAAATTCTGGACCCTTTTCGATCCAGGTTCCCATAGTATTGTCTGCGGTTCGAGGAATTACAAACCGACCGCTTGCTGCAAGTGTCGTATTCACCTTGGCTGTTTATTCTTTCCTTTATACATACACGATTAAACCGTTGTTGTGTCTGTTAAATATCCGCTATTGCGGGCGCATTGGTCAACGGTGATTCACGGATTGATTTTAGACTTTGGTCTGTTAACAAACGAGACTTATGAGCGTCCGCTAGGCATTTGACAAAACCTAACTGTAATTTTGTAGAACAAAAATCTTTTTGGCAGGACAGGATATAATAGCGTTCGATTCATATGTCTGTCTGAAAATTTTATATGAATGAAGATTTTGATAACCGTAACTTAAATATTTCATAGGTACAGTGGACTTTTAGGATCTTAAGACGTAAAAATGGTTTTTAGGGAATCTAGTTGAAACACTTGGGGCTACAGAAACGACATTCTGAAGGTTTATTTAAGTTTTCACGATTAATAATAAAGAATAAGAAAATTATAATCATAAGATGTGGGAAATTTTGTAATTTGTTATAATATGGTCATAATAATGTAATCAAGTTTTCAATAGGAAACCTCCTGAACCGACATTATAACAAATTATCATCAGGGTTTCCATTAAAACGTAGATGTTAAATCAGCCGAATTGGACTTTGGCCGAAAAAATACGGAGCGTTGTAACCAAGACTGTAATTATTAAACCGTCCCAATTTCAAATAACTACCTGTAAGTTTAAAAGTTATAAGGTCACCTGGTTACATAAATTTTTTGTTTCACCCGGTATATCAAGCGAAATTTAGTATTATCATGCGTATTTTTGGAGTAAATGTTTCAAAACTCAAAAAACAATGCAAATTACAAATTACATCAAAAACTACATATATATTTTTTTATATTTTAGTACTAAAATTCAATCGATTTACTTTGGCAGTTATTTATGGATAGTATCAATCAAAAGCATTGGTGCATATGTTAACATTGTAATAGGTGACTAAAATTCAAATTGGCTAAATTCAAAATAATTTTTAATGATATTTGTATAAATGCGTAAATGTGGTATTCATTTTTTTATCGCAATACATATTAAGAAAGTGAGTGACACAATTTGACTCGATAATATGTTAATGTAATAGTACTAAATTAGTTTTTAATGAGTCTTGAGTTTAGAAAAACTTTTTGCGATTCCACTCCTCTAAAAAATTTATATATTAAATTTCACAAGTGAACCAAACCAA